ATACTTTATTCTCGTAACCTGTAGTTGCATTTTCTTTTATTTAACATCTTATTGCAGCATACATTTCATCAGCTAATTTGCTAAACTTACTTTTAAAAAACAAATCCTTCGGTCCGTGGTGAATTTCCAAACTGCGCCGACACATTAAAAAAAATAAAAACACCACCGTCTTCATTTCTCAGATTATTTTGCTGCCCACGCATTGAATCCTGGGATATCCTCGGCTGGTAAGGATACGTGGATGCATCCTCAGATTTCGACAGGAAGTAGGACGCATTCCTCAGACGCATGATGAGGAGCCTTCGAATTGGGACAGTCCTCCGCGCGGGGCAATGACATATGCGGCCGACAAATGCGCACTCATGAGGACCCAGCCCCTGAATTGAGACACAGCCAGAATCTTAAAAATACTATTAAAAAAGGATAAAAAGGTGACAATTTGTGATACAAGATGGTAAAGTTTGGTTTCTGGAATCAGTGTCATGTCTGTCATTTAACGTTTCTTTTTTTCACTTGTTTACTTGTGCTTTATGTCACTGTTATGTTGTTTTACACATTGCAAAATATTTAAATATAAATAAATAATTTACACAAATGGCTGCAAATATTGCAGCTGAAGTCAGGCAACTGAAAACCCACTACACACCTTGAAGACATGAATAGCATTTGTTGAAAGGTGGTGCTTAGTGGCTTTACAAACAGAGTTTATATCTTTATTTTGTTTTTCTGAGATATCTGATAAAACAAGAATAAAAACATGATAAAACTCAGACATCTCCAGTGTCTGGAAGGAGAAAGTAAACCATCTTATTTGTGCTGATGGTTAATGTCAGTACTTTGACCACCTGCCTGCCAGTTGCTCTAATGGAACCTCATCTTTGCCTCTTTASCTGCCTTCACACACTCATCCTGGGGTCACAGCTGAGGGCTGCTGGACCTGAGTCTTTCTAATAGAGCTCCATTAAGCTCCTGTATGAGAGGCAGCCAGCTGTCACTCCCCTGCCGTTGTGATCATGACCCTCTTTCAGCCTCTGAACCCCCCCTGGGATCTGCGGCGGGGAGGTAACAGGATGGAGGGAGAAATGAAGCTCTGCTCTGCACTCAGAGGGGAGGACTGTGATTACTCGTCAGCTGAGAAACAGTTCCACATCTGTGCAGGCAATCGCTCACACTGAATATGACGTGAGAAGTTCAGACACTGAATGCTACTTTAACAGGAGTGGAAAAGAGCACGCTCTGTTCAAAATGTCCTCTACACACACTAAACGCCAACCTGCTGGCCTTTCTTTTACCTCGTTTCTGGTTTCTTCCTCCCTCCTCTATTAAAATGATTGAGCAGGGCCTCGATCAAGTTCATCAACCTCGTGTTGCAATTAGTGTTGCGCCAGAGCACTTGTCCTAATAAGAGTAATTAACCCCCCATCAGCCAGCYTTGACTGCTGTCTCCACGCAACTCCAAAGCCTCTCATTTCATCCATCAGCTCAGACAGAACATAAACCAGYAGACACAACAAGGAGACACAGGCAGCTTTTCAAACCACCAAGGGATTAATGGCGACCAGGACCCATTTACCCAGGACCACGTGGAGCAAAAAGGTCAATCAGATTCATGAGAAAAYGCTGAGGATGAATGTCTGCATTTAATGAACAATGTATAGAGCCAAGATCACCGTTTCACTCTCTTACGTGTGGAGCAGCAAAGCAATGAAAATAAATGGGGAGCAAAGACAATTCACGGTGCTCATAAAACGGCCAGTAAATTCAMCCAGTAAGTAGAGGAGAAAAAGAAAGGAACACAGCTCTGTCCATCTGAGGAGGTGAGAAGAGCAGCAGGATCATCTCCCCCTCACTAAAAACCTATTGATGAAAATATTATTGCAACTCTGAACTAAATGCATACTGTGACTTTATTTACAAGATGTAACAGTTTGTAAACAAAGCTGAAAATGTTACAGTTAATGCTAATATGTTAGTAAGTTAATGGGCTGCAAGTGCTGGAGATGAATTGGTGAACAGTTTTTAGGAGGAAGTCCTGAAAGCGTTTCAGAAGTGAGTTATGCAGCCTTGTTGTTTTATATTTGAACATGTTAAAAACATCTCAAACCTTCTCAATTTATCTTCTATAAATTCAAAAGCTGTATTTCATCTCAGTTGTTGTGTCCTTGGGCAAAACACTTCACACGCTTTGCCTGCTGTGGTGGTCAGAGGGTTCATTTATCATTTACAGCCTGAGCGTCTAAACACCACACTGACAATAATTATTGCTTAAAAGTTGCTCAAAATCTGCTTATCTTCTTGCAAGTAGATTCAATCATAAATGTGGGCAGCTGCCAAGATGGTTACAAAGTGAGCCTAGGCAGGTACGATGTGAAATATTGTGCAGAGCCTAGAATACAATTTTGCAAGCTGTGCATATAAAAAAAGTTCTGATTCTTTTAAATTGGTCCCTCAAAACATAGCTAAACGACTCACTGGCTGCAAACACTGAATTTAGTGAGATTGAAACTGAAAATTTGTTTATTTTCTCGTAATTTTGAGTCTTCAAAAGGTTTCCAACAGTTGTAACCAAGTGAGATAAAAAGGGGACGTATGATGCAAAATCCACTTTTTTTCAGCTGTTAAATACATTTAGTTTTGTACTTAGAGTTACCAGGAGTGCAGAAAAGTTTTATTTAGTCTGTCTGGATTAGGGTTGGGCATAATTGTATCGTGTGCAATTAATTTTCAGAGAAACTTTAATCGATTATTTTTTGGCACTTGACGATTATTAAGATTAATGTCAGCAAGCAGAGTCTGCTCGATGCTCCTCTCTGCTTCAAATATGAAGAACATTAAAAAAGTTCTGTAATTTATTTATATATCAACACAATTTAAAATTTGATGTATAACCTGAAGTCTGTAATTTTGACACAGTTTGGAACAGATTTTTATGAAGAGCAAATCTTTCCCACTAAACTGGTCATGTGACTAGGACATAAGGGTGTCCAGGGACTCCAGGGGATTAATCATCAAATTAATCGTTATCAGCTAAATACCACAATTAATTGTGATTAACTGTTTGGCCAATATTGCCCAACCCTAGTCTGGACGGACAAGTCTTCCATTGTTGACATATTTTAATTAATTTGTAAGTAAAATGTTTCTGTGCTTCTATACTACGCACAACTACTGTACATTTCTAAATATTACATAGTTTTCAGCAGAGCAATCTGTTAAAGTGAATATTTTGAAGAGAAGGAACAGAAGAAAAATGTAGAAATCAAATGATTGTTCTTTTCATCATCTCGGCCTGTTTAAATTAGATGAGTGGTTATGCAAGAGGGCAGTTTTTAAAGTGAAGACGCACAGAGTTTCGTCACAGCCCGCCACTTCCTTCCAAACAGAGCCGACTTCCCAGCGAGCTGATGGGAGCTGACACACAGCAGAAGAATGAGCCGCCTCTGTGTCGTTACTATAAAGCCTGGCCGGAKTGCCGAGTGGCCTCACTGTGTGTGGCGCCGCAGGTTGGCACGCTCACAGCCAGCTTTACTGGGGTGCARTCGTGAGCTTCAGGCACCGTGCCCGATGTTGACAAAGCCTGGTATCGCCTGCTGTCAGCCCATTCTGTGTGCACCCAGTGGAAAGAATCAATTAGGTCCAGCTCACGACAGAGCACTTTAATATTTGACTTTTAATCAGAGGGCAGGCACTCTCCATTTCCTGGATGTGGAAAAGAACGGGTCAGAAAACTGCTGCAGGAACCCCACGGTGCAAACCACACTCCCCTCCTGAAGACCTGATGGAGGAGAAATTGCTGCCTACAATAGGTGAGTCCTCCAAATGTGTTAAARGAAAATAAACTTTTGTCACTCACAAGATAATGAAAGAATCTTACGCAACAAAGTGCAAGGAACAGAGGAGCGATGTCATGTAACTGCTCAGGAACAACAGGGCTCCGAACAAAGGACAGTGGCTTTGAGAAGCAAAAACTGAACTGACAAGGTCTTCATTCAGTGGATGAACTAAATCTTTAAAGAGTTTCTAAAAAAGATGTTTTTTTATCCATCACTGCTGAAGGCCCTGTCTGCCAAGAAGGAACGAGAAAGAGAGGTGAATGCTGTCCTCACTGAGGGGTTTGAAGTGGAGATCAGCCCTCAAAGAGAATAACTTACCAAAGCCACATCATTCACCTGTCTTTTTTTTTACTCGTGTCACGAAGACAAGAAAAACAGAAAATATCAGAGTACATCTTCCCCAAATACTGTCATTAAAAGTTTCACGGAGGAGCCGACTTCTCTGCAAAACACACTGCGCCGGTGTTAATCCAGACGCAGAGCAATAAATATTCACATCCTGATGATGTTCAGGTGCTAACGAGTCAGCGCTGCACAGCTGCACACAAACCCTGCCCACATGAGCTGRGAGCTGCTGCTGCCCAGCTGTTCACACTCTCACCACAGCAAATGTTACAGGAGATGGCTAACACCGCAGAGCCTCCAGCTATTCAACCGCAGCTTCTTTTGTTCTCACTTGAAGCTAGTTTACAGCCCACATCCACACTCYGCAGCGGTTATCAGCTCTGTTGTCTTTTTCTGACTTCCATTTGTTGTTACGGGCAGACTGCTGCAGTTTTATCATGGCCAGCRTATCTGCACCAACAACAGCCATCATCTCACTTTGATGAGCTAACCAAGATAAAGCTAGTTATTAAGATGGGCACTCTGAAGCCGCGTGATGCAAGTCTTTTTCAGAGGTGATGAATTCATTCTGCTGCAGTAAACAAAGTGTTGACAATAACTGTAACTGCAGCACACTGCTCTTTATTTCCTCWGGGATCTGTAAAAAACCACGGCAGCAGCAACAATAATCACAATCTGACAAACATCTGCTTAGATGGAGGAATTATATCCATTGAGGTTTGAAAACAAATAAACATAGGATTCCTCTAGAAAGATAATAACTTTGACAATTAAGTTGTGGCTCTATGATTTAGTTTTAACGATGAAACATGAACACATGCACTGCATGCATGGACAAATCTGCCARAGGGAAYATTTCTAAAGAAATAAAAAGAAACKTATGGTTGTAGAAACAAAAGAAATCCTCCACATGCACATCTGGACAAGGTAAGAAAAGTGAGAGAAGGTTTGASTGAAGCAGTGAGTAGGTGGTGAACAGCCTTACCTTCTCTTCTAAACAAGCTGCTCGCGGTGTTCTCCTCTCCCACAGAAATCTGCCTCCGACTGCCAAGTTCTGTAAGAAAACAAAAATTGAATGAATATTTGGCAGGTGCAGAGCTTTGATTCAGGAGCCAAAACAAAGCCAGACGATTACATTGTGTTGCTGCTGCGTCTTGTTTAAATTAAACCTTTAATTATAAACATTGTTCATGTCTTTATTCTGCCTGCTTTGTCTCTGTCCTGCCTAACGAATGGTGTAATTCAGATTTCCCTCCCTTTCACCACCAGAAATGGACCGATTAATYGACCGCCTGATTTTAATCAGCTGATATCAACCATGTTTTTAAAAAAACCTGGCAGTCGGCCATGACTGTGCACACTTAACCAAACAGGAAAATGAAGATGCAGCAGCAGCAGCTGCTACAAACAGCTGTAGTCCACTATTTAGTTTTAAGTGAAAGTCCTTGTCTGCATATTATTTTAAAATGTACCAGTTCTTCTAAAGCTTGTTAAATATACAGTTAAACAAGTATAATTAAAAATGAAAACTACAAATTGATCAAATAAATAAATCAGTGGTGTATATGGATCATGTGATTAATAAAGATTGGCATCAGCCAGAGAAAAACTGACTGATGTCTGGTCAACACAACCTGCCTGTTTTTACCACAGCAGTGTAACAAACTGCAGGATAGAGATAAACAGCCACTCGTGTAATTATCCCAGTAATACGTAGATTAGGTAAAATTCATGTTTGACGAATATTAAAATGCCGGAGGTAGAAGGAAATAGTTCAGGAGAAGCTTTAATTAGACTCATGTCAAAAATTGGGGAGAAATGGTCTGAGGTTTTAAATATTTTACGAAGCTGAAGTCTGCATTTTCCTTCTCGTCTGTGAGGAACTATTAAAAGCATAACGGTAAGTGAAGTGTGCCTCTCACTCTTCATTAGTAATAAGAATAGATTTGTGTTTGTAATGCCACATAAAGGCTGCTCACTTTTACTCAAGCAGGCGATCTTTACTCAACTTCAAACCAGGTGTCAGAGGCAGAAAAATATTTGCTGTCACCCAGCTGTTTCCATCAAGCTGCCAGCTCACTATCTTAGTGTCTGCGAGTGCCTCTAGTTGTGATCTGTAAGCTACGAAGCCTTGTTCTCCACCTGTCTGTGAAGACACGATGACAGGACTGGAGCCGTCTCATCCCCGTTCAGATTGGACAGGTGTCAGTGGCCAGCATCAGAGCTGAGCCAAATGGGTTCTAACGTGCCTGTAACAACACAAAGGCACTCACATCAATGGTAGGAGGAGAGAAGAACGTTATAATCCCACAGCAAACCCCCTGCTGCCAAGGCATGTGTATGACCCCAGCTGCTCGCTGCCTGTGCCAGAACTGCCAGCCACTCATGGGCATCAAGAAGAGGTGAGTCTAAACAACTGCGCCCGTCCATCTGTCCATCTGAGGCAGGAAAAGAGCAACAGAACTATCTTCGGAGCTGATAGTAGATAACTTCATAAATAACAAGGACACGTGAGGAGCAGGTACATCAGTCATGACGAGACACAACAGTCCTGACATTATTTATTTTGACAGGATTTCATGCGGCCAAAAATGACACCCAGACGCTCGCAGCATTCAGCAGACACAGCAGGCTGCAAATTACAAAGAGGAGAGGAAAAAAATGCATTACTTTCTTTTTCTCCCGATAAAATAAAAGGAGTGACAGATTTAATATAAATAAGCAGAGAGGGGGAGGAGGAAGGGAGGGGACTGGAACAGGCTCCGGGTGACAGGTACTGTGACGAGCGTAGCGACTGAAAGAAAATGCGACACCTGGCCTTGTCCTTGATGTGAATAAGAGGATGATAGATCAAAAAGTGACAGTGCAGAAAGATGGTTATTACCCTGGCAAAAAGCAGGGAAAAAAGGAAGAGTAGAAAGTGACTATTTTTAGTGGAAGAACAAAAATACACCAGGGCTTCACTTGATATTCTGTTCCATAAGAAACATTACGTTGGTGCAATAATTCCTTGTTCATTACAGCAAACTGCAGAAATATTCTCGGGCAGAATGAGAAAATGCGTACATTTCATAAAAGTGAGTCGATCCGTGTTTTGACTCAGATGAGCTGGAATGAGTTTTCTGTTCAACTTGATCCTGATGTAGTTTGATCAAAAGAGTGCGTAAGCAGCCACCCGAGGCTCTGTTTTCTTTCACTGGGTGAATTCTTCAAGTTGTAGAGAAAGCAGATTGATTTCAGTGGGCTCTGCCTCTATTGATCCTTCATCCTCAGCACCGTCTCTTTGCCAATTAAGAGTTCACTAAAGCCATAACTCTTAATTAATATCAGCTTACTGCCAAAATCTCTGCTGTATTTACTGCTGCGTCTCAGCTGGGTTTTAGATTTTCTTTTGTCCTCTGCTCTGTTTGCACCAAACAAACAAAAAGACAAGACAGATCTGGATTTGTGACATTGTGGATCAGGTAAAATAAAATACACAGCACAAATCGTGTACTTGACTGAGAATCAGCTGCTTACCCTGCAGCCAGATTTGAAGGATTAGAAGGAATGGAGATAAACTGGAAGCAGGAATCGAGGATGTGTCAGGATGTCAGGCAAGAAAGATCAAAAGATTTGTTAGACAAGAATTAGATCAAACACAGTCAGAGTTGTGTGGACACTCAGATGAGGAGTGTGGAAGAGTCAAAGTGGTTGTTAGCAGAGAAACTGTAATCCAGATATAAGAGTATGAGAGCTCCCATCTCCAGGTCTATTTAATTGCAGGATAAAGAGCTTGTTTACCTCCACATCTTTCACTAGAGCTATGGACGTGTCCGTCTCTTGATGTATCCACCTTTAAGGTGTAGCAGGAACAAACCGTTCACAGTCACAGGTCAGTTTTGCCTCAGAGTTTTCTCCTTTAAAGCCATAATCCCACTGCATTGGTAGAGTGAGAAAATCCAATTTCAGAGATGTGTAATACCACAAACCTTATTAGACACACCAGTGGCTACTACACCCCGAGGAGGAGGCATGTACGAGGGGTGCTGGGGTAATGCTGCTGCAGTTGTGATGGTGATGCCGGGATAGAGAGAAGGTGATGAGAACAAAAATGGAGATTAGGTGAAGTCGGAGTGTGGAAAATCAGGAAAATGAAGACAGGAGAGTGCAGGCTCAGCTGGGTTTCCTGTAGATGCCAAGCAGAATGGGAGGACGACCGCTCAGTGATAGCACTGTAGACTCAACATCCTGGGTTCAAACCCCTGTTTGGACCTGGGGTCTTTCTGTGTGGAGTTTGTGTTCTCCTCATGTTTGCCTGTGTTTTCTATGGGTACTTTCCCATACAAAAAATCCCATGAATTTCACATGTTCACATGTGGTACCCATTCCCCACATGTGGGCCACATTTATACAAGACGTCATATTCCATTCAACTTATCACATGTGGAATTTATCTTCACATATTTCTCACATGTGCATTACGTATTAGATGTTTTTCCATGTGAATAACTTTAGATTTTAGATTCCACAGAATGTTGCTGAGGTTTAAATACACCCTCCATWACTAAAAATCCCATGRATTTCACATGTGGTGCATGTGTGAAATCATGTGAATCACATGTAAAAGCACATGTATATGTGCGATTGTGTCTCCCATGTGGAGATGTGTGATTTCCATGGGAAAAAATGTGAATCATGTTTTTTTTAACCACAAAACGTTCTAAAATCACACATATACATGTGCTTTTACGTGATTCACATGATTTCACATATGATTACATGTGTACCACATATACCAAATTTACATGTTGGGATTTTTTTTGTAAGGGTTGGTTTTTATACGTAATTCAAAAACATGCATGTTACGCTGCCTTCAGGCCTCCCTTGCAAAGAGGGATGTCTGAGTTTAAACTTGCCTGGTTAAATAAAAGTTAATAAATAAAAACTTGATGAAACAGGTAACAGATTTGCAGGGTGATACTGTGTACTCAGAGTGCCACTCTGTATTTAGTTCCTGTTGATAAACCTAATGCTACTGTCAGAGACATTTTAATCATTTCTCTTTTAATCTGTTAACCTTGYAATCTTCTTACTGCTTCAAAAGTTCAAACAGTACAGGACCCTCGCTTTGAATTTCACAAGAACTACAATATAATTTCTTTTTGATTTGGGTTAGAGTGTCATACTATCATCTCCGGGTCCTGCATTCATTTAATTGTGACTTTAATGATGCATTTAGTTTGCTGCTATCTGAGTGCTCTCATTGATTGTCTAAATTCAGGAGAGTGGGGCGTGTCTGTTTGTTTTGCCCTAATGGACACCATTTCAGGATGTAACTCAGTCAAAAGCAGGCAGCACAGGAGACACGAACACATGCAGAAATAAAAGAAATACACGAAAACAATAAAAGTCTTCACATTAATAGGTCAGTGGCTCCAGCAGAAATGGAAATAACCGTTAAAAAAGAAACCGTTACACCAGGCATGATTAAAAAAATTTTAAATGGATTTTAACGTCAGCTGAATTTTGTCTATATTCCAAAATCTCCTCATCACTGCTCTTAGCAGCACAGTTAATTCTTCCATAAATTATTCACAGCTGTAAGAAACTGTGACAAATGGCCACAGATAAAGCCAGCATCTAAAGTCTGATTAGAGGAGAACACTGGCCAAAGAGTTCAACACAAAAATTCCAAGATATAAAATGCTTTTAGCAACACCACTGCTGTGTGATATCATGAGTGGGGGCCTAAAGCCACCATTTCTCCTGAGACAGATAGGGCAGTGAAGCCCGCACTCTGTGGCCAGCAGGGTATAATTACATTTCCCCATGGGGCACCTCCGCCGCACCAGCWSAGCCATAGAGAGGAAAGAGATTGAAATCTGATTGCACTCGCAGACAGCAGTCAAATGGCTGTCCACACATCAACAGCACACACTGATCTGACTCTGGCACAAAGGCAGAGAACAGAAACACGCAAACAATCACATACAAATAAATGTTATTCAGTCCAAACGGCTGCTCACTGAGTTGCACTCTCTGCACACGTTTCAGAGACGAGTGTTCCTGTCA